AAAACAGCTTTCAATCCCTTGTAAACGTTGTACTTACCTCAATATTGGTTGGTTATCGTATGCCGACAACCACGGGATGAAAACGAAACGAAGTCGATTTTCCCGCTCAACCTGGAGGACAATTGTACAATTCAATAACTATACAGCCTAGTTCAGACAATGTGTATTTATATATATATCAAATATTTAACTGTTGAAACATTATTAACTTGTAGACAATCTACGATTTGATATTATATCATACTTGATCGTGCCTGTAAAAATGGCATGCATTTTCATGTAAATTTATATGTTTATATGAGAATATACATTATTATTATTATTATCCTTGTATGTATATCCTATGTTAGTGAAAAATGGTTAATGTGCAAACTCCGTGTATATACTACTTGCCATATTTGTGATGTCTGTAAACTTGAGTCCCTCACATACATAAAGTGAGAAAATATTATTATTGAACACTGCAAATGCATAATAGCGTTCCAAGGAGTGTCCAGCTCCTTCTTGTATATGCCTTTTAAATGTACTCCCAACGATGTATCATCCACAATTGTATTTTGAGCCGTTTTGCAGTTACCCAGGACGTTCTTTACTTCTTGAAATAGCTTTTAATAACGTGGCGACACTGAACTTATTCAGATATATGCTGTTGACTGGTTCACCATAACTATTAGCATGAAATGGAACTAAGTTTGGGTTGTCGCTCGACTTTGATGGTGACCTTAGTGAGGGGTTTACAATTTGAAACTTATAAGAACCTGTTCTGATTGCTTGTACAACAATCACACAATTCAAACTTTTGAAAAAGTAGTAATTTACGATGCACCAGTATTTTGATTTATGACATGGCATGCATTTCTTGTAAACACCAGTTTATACGGAATATAAATTATTAGTAGCATTAGTTTCCAAAATTTCCGAATAATTCATCATCATAACACACTTCTAACTCCAGCATAGCATGGTTCCTCGGAAGTTTGATCATAGCCCACCTGCTTGCTCGGCCAATCTCAGGATATTACTGATGAGCATAACTGCAGTCTGTTTATCGCTGACCTCGGTTTCGACTTCATACAAACCCTATGTAATGTCCCACATAAAAGACTAGCTCTTAATCTAAAGTGATACTTAATTCTTGCGTGGAGAATCACCGAAGTAATGAAATTCCCAGACAACTACTCACTACCTGAACCAATGGAAACTGGAGTTGTCAGTGATCCTGTGCTAGGGTTAAAATTTTTCTTAATTCATTTGGGAGATATCTAGAGTACGAACAATACTCTGTGCTGACACCTGGAGGACTGTGTATAAAATTCCTTGTGTTGACCAGCAAGAGGAATTCACATATATTTTAGATAACTTGGATGGGCTATGTAGTTGTAACAATGCCTGACAGCTGCCATTGAGTGCTAATTAGTGTAGACATCCACACTTTGGTAGCTGTCACCCCAAATGTAGTTTGTATCTAGGCTTCTCCTTTCTTCAAAGTCTACGGTTCTTAAAGGACCTAGACGGTACTCAATCCCAACTTAACATTTACATAGCATGCTCAATCCATTATTTCTTAATTCGAAGAACTCACAAGCCTGCTAAACTGAAAACTGCTTACTGCCGAGGCTAGGGTTGAGTTTTACAACTTCACGATTCGCTGAGGTCCGAACCATCACCACCAGTGTGGTGCATTAATATATAGGAGTGTTGTTAAAAATATCCAGGAGTTTTACGCGACTTCCACTGCAAACCTACGAAAACCCTAATTGGGAGGATAGGTGCATAAAACACGAACTCGAGCCACCTGGGTTAGAATGCCTGAAGCTCAGACCAGCTTCTCCTCACATATCCTTCATATAAGCAGATACCGGACAGAACTACGATCAGGTTGCTTTATAGTGCGACGACTAAAGACAAGGGCCAAGCAGCAGATTGTTTATTGAGAAAATCAAGAGGTATTTATAGATTTTTATGTGCTTCGTTGTCGTTATGGTTAGCAGAGTAGCAACCTCTTCTGATTGGTTGTGTTTTGCTGCTGAAGATAATTTTGTTATCTCTCTGTGACCGTTTCACAGAAAATCTAGTGAAATATCTATGAATCATATTTCCAATCTTTAACTCCGCTGTGATTGGCTGATGATTTTCTCAAGGTTAAGCTTAGTCATTGTTTTTCTCATGCCCCTGATTCGGGAAGTGAACATTAACGTAAATTGCTGCCTACAATTTCGGCTTGCATACAGCTCTCACCGCAATAACACTGTAAAAAAATTTTCAATTTTGGTACAGTTTGCTGACCTCCTACTGAATACTAGAGGCTTCGGCATGAGTTTCTGCCGACTAATAATATCCTATGATTTACTCAGCCATAATCCATTCATCAAGAGTATTTTAACAATCGAAATAACTGTACTAGAGATACAAGTGTTGTTCATCCCCTTCAGTGAAATCTACTAGCCTTTACTTGATCGTGCCTGTAAAAATGGCATGCATTTTCATGTAAATTTATATGTTTATATGAGAATATACATTATTATTATTATAGCCTCGAATATTCCATGTCCGCATTTAACTCTATCGTAGCCTACCCATATTACAAATAACTTCGTCACATTTATAGGCTTTCTCGGAGTACTTGTACGCCGAATCCTAGTGCACTGGAGCGGGGTTGATTTTATGTTGTTTGTAGTGTGTGGTGTGCTAGGATTGCGTCGTTGCTGTGAATGTAGTTGATCCTTACAGCCATCAGTCGTCTGGTTTGGTAGAAAAGAGACATAACAATAATTTATTTATTTTTTATTACAGCTTATTTCCACACTGTATTTTTGGAACAAGTGTGGAATTTTCTGCATGGATATCGGTAGCCCAAATTTTGCAGGCCGACCATAGATATCAGGTGTGTGTCGGCAGGGGATCGAACCTCGGACCATAACACTAGAAATAACTGATGTAGATTAAGTAGACTAAACATGAGAAAAATGCTCCGCCAGGCGATGAAACTTGAAAATGATTATAAAATAAGTGAATAAATTGACAGAGAGACTAAGAGGATTAGACAAAGGAGGATGGGCAGTATTAAGAGGACAAGTGAAGGCGTATACCCATTGTTATTGTGTGAATTTTAAAGGGGTAGGCCGTTTGGACTCAGTATCTGCACCGCTGCATGGCCTTCTGACCTTTCTACTGACGGTGCAGTAGCCGTATCTACCTATAAAGAGTTCCATGGGCGGCATACTCTAGATGAAAAAAATGGGATCACACTCAAGTCTCTGCTCTACGGTGATTTCTCCCTCGTGGATTACTATGAGAATGACCAAGCGTATTTAATGGCAGAATATCTTTGTTTGCGTGATTCACCCGTTGCCTTACAGTCATTAATAAGGTCGCCCCTTTCGACTCTTTCCAACATATTAGGGGCCTTCCTCAGTAACGAGAAAGCAGTAATGTTGTACGTATGTCTTGTGTGACCTTAGAAAAACCTGAAGGAGGGGAGCATCTAACTGCCTATACGTGAAGTGTACAACTGCATATGCCCTCTCCAAATTACTCGTAAAACTCACGTTTGTGTACATTTTCTCCATTGGAACAAGGCCCAAATTGCAATCTGACGTTGTGCAGGACAGGCTTTCGCTACATAGGGATTAGAAATAATAATTTATATTCCGTATAAACTGGTGTTTACAAGAAGTGCATGTCATGCTTAAAGTCACCATACTGATGCGTCATGAATTGAAATCGCTAAAATCTAACTACCCGAATAACGTTTGGAGGTTCAGCGTCTACCTCCCATTAAGGTAGGTGCGGGGTCCTGGGCAACTTTGGCGTATTCTTAGGCTAATTTTGAACTGCTTCCCAAAGTGAGAGTACATTTAACTTTGAGATGGTGATTAATTCTGCTTGCATTCGGCGGTTCCTTGAAAGCCTCCACATATTCCAAAAAAGCAGTCATTGTATTTCACCGACAGTTAGGTTACGCCTCGAATTGTAATTTAATGCTGGGGGGATATTTAAGCAAACGTATCCACGTATTGTTGGGTCAATTAGCCCTGTGGCAAACATATTTGTGGTAGCCTGCATCTTGACTATCAGAGCCGAAGTGGGTATAACCACAAGGAACTGTAATCGCGAGTCAGTGACTACATGTTCGTGGAAGTCGGCATGGGGAGTATAGAAGCCATGTTTCTTTACTGTCCTAACAGAGGGAAAAGAACTGGTTAGGGTTTTCAGTTAGTCGGATACGAACCGGATGGGTGTAAGGTCAATCGTATCAAAAAGAATCATAAAACTCACCTGAATCACATGACCGTTTACCAAAATGGATGAAGTTCGCGGTAGGTCTCACCAGCTTAGGAGATGAAGCGGATGACGTTTACGGGAAGTACGACATATATATCCATAACCCCCATAGTATTTGTTCTGCGTTGATCAGAAGCAAATCAAAATGCCAGACTGACCATCGAAAGACAAAATATATCATGATCGAAATCGTAGTGTGATAATTGCTTAGCCAGGTAGAGATTGTGCACGAACAGACTAACATAAAACCACAACGTGAAAACGACGTATATGTTTGATTGTGAACCTTCAGCTTAGTGAGCCGACTTAAACAGTAAGGGTCACCATCTGATGAGAAGTTACGAATGCTGCAGGCTGTCAATTTTGGGGTATTTTTTGCCGCTACAACTTCATTCTCATTGGTGAATCCGAGGTCACAGTTAAACTCAGTGGCATGAAAAAGCAAAAGAATTCACACAAGCTCTACCTGAGTCAGATGAATTCCGATTACGCTTCAAACGCACTGATATCAGTCCGGGTGGTGAACTACAGAAACCAGTGAAAACGAGGGACTGCTAACACCTTAGACAGAGGAAACACGAGAAGTTATTTGGGATCAAATTCAGTTGAATCGCTGTTCTTTACATTCATTAATTCATTTTTGAATAATTAGAAAAATTATTTTATGAAATATGAGTGTTGCGAAGTCTGTTGGGCCTTCACCTGTATTACAATCTTCGTCCTTGGGCAAGGCCGATCGTAGCTTGCGTTTAGCGCGATCTACGACATTTGCCGTGTAAGTTTGGTAGTTATTCAAGCCATCGAAGCAAGGTGACTAGTGGGGTTGAATTTATGTTAGTGAATTTAAACAATTTTTTTTGTTCCCCACATAGACTCGTCGTGTCCTTAGTTTCTCTGAGTATATGTTCGATTAATATTAATCGAGAATATAATGTAATCTTCCGAAAGAGGCTACAGTTAGTTTCTAGGTCATGATAAGTTCCTGCGTCGGCTAGTTATATGTTTTCGCGAATTCGTTTTCCATTGAATTTTAAAGGTTTTTCTGGATGTTTTGCTCATTTTGCAGTGTGTAGGTCAGTTATTGTCACTGGGTGCTACTATTTAGCTTATTTTTAGCCTGAAGTTCACAGTTATTATGTTGGTAGTCAAAGATTATTGTAAACCTGCAATCATTGAGCTAATTAACGTATACTATGCTAACATAGTAACATAGACTATGCTAATAATAGTAACAGTAAACTCCCTTACTGTTTTGCCATTGTTTGACAGTGAACCTGTGCGCTGATTTTTCAGCATGAGTGGCACTAAATCGAACCTACTGGGTCTGCTTATCAACGTTGTTCCAGCCCTCACAGGACATAATAAGCATGGACTAGCGTTACTCCAGAGTGGAAAGTTTTGATTCAGCACGCAGCTGTTTTTTTAAGCACGACCTGTATCATTTCAGAACATGGTGGGTAAATATGATCTTCAGTTACCATAAAAAGGCATTATCGAGGAATAGGTTAGAATAAATTTAGAATTGTTTTAAGCTTGGTGGTGCTGCGGTCTAAGTGATAAATCGTATTAATCACCGTTATTCAGGATATGCTATGAATCGGAATTCCTCAGCTGAAAAACGTATGAATAAGACACGGATCGGTGTAATTTATAACTGACTCCAAATTGCTCTCATCACGAAATAATCAACCAAAGTATGCTTTAAACTGTCGCTCTCAGCCGTTTGAGGGGAAATTTACTTGATTTATGCTGACCTAGTATGCACAAATCCCAAAGGTCATTGAATTGACAACTTAAAAAAGTAGATTAGTTAATACATACATTTATCTATATGTACTAATTAAGGACACATTAAATTTTTAGAAATTGTAGTTAAATTATATTCGCCTAGTAACCAAAATTGCATACATCCTATTGCATCAAAATTATTGTTGATTTATATTCACTTTCTGGACATTCTCATACATCTCAATATACTTTAAACATCAACAATGCATCCAAGTAGCGTGTGACTGTCACACTACACTCATACCAAAAAAATTAACACGCCATTATATTATGGTAAGGTGAGCCCAAAATTTCACTGACTGTAAATTTCCGTGTCAAAATAAAAAGATTACCGCTTGAACTTATATTTTAGACCAATAAAAAGCCAGCTAGGCAACAGCCAATAAAAAACTGCCTATATCTATTTTCTAATCTTCCTCACTTCCAAGAGTTCAGCTGTGAATTTGTTTGCGCTACAAAAAAGTTATCCCAAACACGTTCCCAATTTCCTCGTGTTTCCCATATTTTTACCACATTACCAATGTCTCCAGAAAATAGCTGCCACCTTTCTCATTTTCTAAAATAGTTCACTTATTCCCACCTTACCCGTAATACAATCGAAAACAGTACACTGACCAAATTCAAACGGAAAACTGCCCACGTTTTAACTTACATATCCCAGGTCCCAAAAATACTAACCGACTGGGATGATTGAATGCTATGAGCGTATGTTGGCCATTTGATACTAAGCGTATATACTCATCTATTCCATCCCTGTATAAGTAGGTTGTGCATGCAAACACCATTTCTGAGACTCAGTGGAATGCCGCATTATAGGATGATAATTCTACAACGTAAAAACAATTCTGTAAAGAGAATTCTCTTCGACGTTTTTATAACTGTACAGTCGTTCATACATTCCATTGTTGTTTAATGTTATTTCACTTTATGTTGTCTTATTCTATCGTTTTATCTAGTCTCTTGATATTTCGCTCATCTTATGTCTCCATCATATTATATTCACATTTCCAAATGTACTTCATTCTCCCATCTATTTGTCACATGTCTACTGACTTCTATTTATTTAGTTATTCATTTATGTCTAATCGATTGTGACTCAATGACATACAGCAATATTAACTCACCTTAGCACTTCCATTCACTGTCAAACTTTAACATGCAGGAATATTACTTGTTATCGTCTATCGCAATTTATATATATACATATATATATATTCGATTGCACAGCTATGGGAAATAAAAAGTTGAAAGGAGAATTTTCTCTGAATTATTTGTTTCTATGTCTCAACGCGGATTATTAATTTGGTTCTACGACGATGTAGTTCGTCCTACTCCTTTAAACTTATTCTTTGTCCCCTAAGATGCCCTCGTCAGGTAAAAACAAAACAAATTAGATGCATCATTGTGCAATTCTGAATTTGCTGACTGGATCTGTCAGTGACTCACTGTGTAGTCCTTGGCTTTGTGCGCGAGTACTTTGTTGGATTTGCAACAAAAGTCTAGTCTTGACGATGTGCACTGGACCGATTCCTGCTGATTTAACTGAAATCTAGCTGGTGAAGGAGTCGGATACTGCAGTATCTCAATATGTGTCGATATAATGATCATTGAGAAAAAGTTCTGTGACGAGTGATAATTGTGAAAGATCGTACGTGATCAGTACTCAGAATGAGGAGAAACGACTCATTGTGGTACTTTCACCGAAAGTGGATTTCAGGTTCCAAGTTTTATATACTATTTAGTCAGTCCACGTCAAAAAGCCTGACTGATACTTAGTCACCATACACTTTACTGAAATCTGTTATATATCAACAGGTAGTTAATTATTCCTAGATCCCACCTGTTTTTCCGACTTATTTTCCATTCTAAACAATCATTTCCTAGTCACTACAAACCGAAAATTATACCACGCAGTTTGTGACAACTTGAACTATTGCTGTTGGAATTCAGTAAGTCTGTTGCTTGCGTTATTTGACTAAACTTGCGTACACGTATATTCTAGTACTTCTTCATCACTTTTATTAATGTGCGCAGACGTTGTGGTTACTCGACATCCACAACGTAAAACCAAAAGGTACTTGCGAGGAGTACAATTGTGTATTGTCACAGTAGTCAAATTTCGAAATTGTGTCAAGGTGTAATATTCAACAGTAAATTGACAAATGTTTGTGGAGTACATATAAAATCGGTCTGTATACACATATAATACAAGTGTACAAATTAGATTAAAAAGCATGTTTACAGTTGGTATAGGGGTACTACAAGTCAATCAGTAGACAATAATTACTGTCTAAATTACCATAAATCTGTTTCGATCACCAATGTTTTTAGGTGGTTTATTTTTTTACAAAAAGAGAAGTTCTCACTTCCTAAATGCAGTCTGTCATGCATACTTTCCGTTGATACCTTTTGTTTTTCAGATATTCACTTTTGTTGAGCTCATCGAGACATTTATCTACCTGAAAAAGCAATGTGTGAGGAGATACAACCACGACCAGCAGATCTGGAACTTTTTAATGCTTGTTATAGTGGAGATTTTGAAAAAGTTGTAAAATTAGTTGAAGAAGAAGATGCGGATATATGCTATCAGGTAATTAAGTTTAATTCGTATTCCTTAGTTTATTGGACAAAAAGAGGTTTCATTTCATTTTTCATTTTTGGTTACAGCTTGACTCCACACCGTATTTTTGGTACAAGTGTGGAATTTTCAGCGTGGATATCGGTAGCCCAAAATTCGCAGGCCGACCATAGATATCAGGTGTGCGTCGGCGTGGGCTCGAACCCCGGACCATGTGCATGGTCGGTGAGAGTCCCAACCACTGTGCCACCGACGCACAAAAAAAATGATACCATGCATAAAAATAAAGTAGTAAATTGAATATCAGATAAAAATGAGATTGGCTTTTTAAACACAAGGGGTAACTTTAAATATCTTGTTGACCAACCAACTTTGTGTTCAGTAACAGCTAGAACATAGAGCTTAATCGCTTTACAGGATAATGTTCAGGAAAATGGTTATGTTGAATACGTCTGATTGTATTGTTCAGTGTAACTGCCTCCAAGAAAATAAATTTTCCTAATTTTATGTGATATTCACTTTAGTGTAATTTTTTATGCAGCTTATCACATTCACACAAATGTTTCTTTGAACTGTAATTCTACTGTTCTTATCAACTTGATATTATTCAAGAAAAAGCACCTTAGTATTATTAATAACAAGCACTTCTCTTTATACACAGGGAAATTTTGTACAATATATTTCTACGGAACGTAGTACATTTAAAACCAATCCCATTGTAAGTTGATAAATGAATAAATAAAAGAGCACGAAACCTAAGTAGTACCAAGGAAAATTTAAGACAGGAAGTAAGGCATATAAGAGAAGCTTTGAAACTTAATAATTACCCTGATAGATTAGTCAGAAAGTATGTGGAGAAATGTGAAAATAAAAAATAATAATAGTAGTGATAGTGATGATAATAATAATAACAATAATAATTGTAATATTAATGACAACATCCATGTCAACCATGCGCGAGACAACACCAACAATAATAAATCTAAATTATCAGTAGTAATTCCATACAAGGAGGGAACCTCGGAAACCTTACACAGAATTCGTAACAATGCTGGCAGGACTGAAAGTGACTGGAATTCAAACCAACCACAAACTCAATTAGAAACAAGTTTTATCGGTTGAAGAATCTTGCCTGTTGAGCTTTTAGAACAAAACAATTTAATTTATCCAATACCCTGCTGGAATGATTGTCAGGTCAAATACATAGGTGAAAGTAGTAGAATAGGGGCAGTTAAACTAGCCGAGCATAGAAATCTAGAAACACACAGACTAGGTGAACCGAATAAGATAAGAAATCTACAGAATAGTTCAGCTTTACAACCCATTGCATGCAATTACACACAACCATACAATACGATGGTATAAGATAACAGTTTTAGAATCTAATGTAACACGGTGGAGGGAGAGATTGATTACGAAAGCTTTGTTTATCGAATCAGCTGAAGAGAGTACGTGTAATAGGAATGATTCAACAACTGTCCCAGATATCTGGAAAATCCTACTACCCCTACGACAAATAGGAGACGACAAAGAAAACTATAAAACTCAAGTTTTGAAGTCCCATGATTATAATTGATATGATTATGAACAATAAATTTTGTTCGAAACTGTGTCATCCAGTAAATAATACTGTTTCGCTGTGTGATACATCTAATAAACAAAGTAATATGGAATTCAGTTGTAGTAGTTATTTCACGATATAGGATTATTAACCGTACGTCCAACGTTTCTGCTTTTCCGGACTTACTACCATCGTAGGTAAGGTTTATGACTGCTTCAACGAGAATCGAATATAGACATGTGGCATGGCGGCTGGCGAACATCCTGCCAAAGTGGAATAGATTCCTTATTGTTATTCCAAAAAATTCGGTACATTATTAGCACCAAAGATGCACCGCACTAATTTGTCTCATAGCGTTTACGAAATTTGGAATACTACCCAGACACCAAGACTGAAGCAGATAGCTGTCTTAAAGAGCCACACCTCCCAGCCCTTTGACTGATCTACAAGACAGTAAAGCAGAGTCTGGTGCCAGATCGTTTATGACGATACACTTCTGAACTTATCATCATAGCAAGTGCTGTCATAATTAACTCTTCGACATTATAAGAACATTTGTTTTGTAGCTTTCTTACATTACTCTCATTGTTTGAAATCTCCTAATAGGATTCAATGATAAAATTTTTGATTTATTTATTCCAGGATTTCAAAACTGGTGTGAGTCCTCTGATGATTGCAGCTGGAATCGGACACACAGATATTGTTAATTATTTACTCTCGGAAGGTGCACCATGGAATGCAGTGGATAGAAAATATCTATGTGCAGGAGATTATGCTGCGAAAAATGGTCATCAACTCTGTATTGATGCCATACTGAATCATGCGGTTATGTCTGAATTCTTGTTGTCGTTAGCTGTTGATAAAAGTGAATCACTATCTTTAGAAAATATTGATTCTATGAATTACTCAAGAGTTGTCGAAAATAGGACTGAGAAGACTGAACAGCTGAATGCTGCCTATCTTGCTAGCCGACTGGAGTATACTGAGGATGGTAAATGCCTGGTGGATACGAATACACAATTGGCTGTTATGATGGATTGGGAAACGCCTATAATGAAGAAACATGCAGCATGGATTTGTCATGCAGATGTCGTCGATAATAAACCTCCGCTTAATATTTTAAATGTTGGTTTTGGTATGGGTATTGTTGATACAGCTATACAGAAATATTCTCCGCATTCTCATGTTATCATAGAGGCACATCCTGAAGCAAGTTTGTTTATTTATTTTTACTAATTATGTTACTCCTTTGGGTTTTAAGAACATAAAAGCTTAAGCAGCACATCTCCATTTCACTCTGTTATCTGCAGTCCTCTTTAGCTGACTCCATGATTGCTCATAAGCTTTTTTTCTCGACAGGCGGTCTCCTTCATGTCACCTTCGAACCCCCAACTCACCGTTAACTATTCAGGCTCCACTTGGGCGATGATCTGGCGCGCGATTTCACTCAGCGGTCTCCTCAGCGTACGTTCAGTCCATCTCCACTTTGTTCTGCAGTTGATGTTTCGGTGATAGGTTCTTGGTTGATTTGTCGCCAGAGTTCTCTGTTGCTGATCGTTTCTGAAAATCTTATCTTTAGTAATGGATCCGGCGAAATAAGCTGTTGATAAAAGTCTGAAACTTGTTCCAAGTGCTTTTGGTGACATACCAATTATCTGAACCATATAGAAGCACTGAATGACATGACATTAGTGTCGAAAATCCAAATCTTCTTCTTGATGCTTAGTGCAATTGATTTCTAGACTGATATCAGATTAATCAAGGTCTTTCTGTCTTCCAATTCTGACTGGCTTTGAAATCCTCATCCCTATCTCCTGTAGTCGCAACGATGTTGTATAGGTAAGTGAAAGAGGTGACTTTTCTCAAATTTTTCCTGTTGATAATCATTGCTGCTCGTTGTTGTTGTTATTGGTTAGGTGTCTTCTCCATATTCACTTGAAGTCCTGTCTCTCCTCACAGCCTCTCCTACCAACCTGTTTAATGTTGCCTGTAGACCTTCAATTTTGTGTAATACTGGGCATAAATCATTCATTTAGTTCAGAACTTCTAGAGTCTTCTAACAGACCCAACGTTTTCCTGTCTTGTCACCGTTTATTTATGTGGTACGGTTATTTATGTATGCATGCAGGTGTGAGTAATTGGTATTTCCTTTTCCCTTCCCCTTGTTTGTTTCTTTAATATTGTGAAGACAATCGATGACGGGGTATGTGAAACAGCTACATTGATTGAGAGCTCATACCAAGCCATTGCCTTCCTTAACAAGCAAAGTTAACTTGCACAAGGTTGGCGAAACCAAAACCTGGAATCAGCCAATGTAAAGTCCTTAACTGTTGGCTTGAGCCAGCCGGCGGCGTAGGGAGGTGTATACTGATTTATAACTAAATCTCAGAATGGTTACAAAAGACTCGTGTGGGATTTAACAACTTACCTAATCCCTGGATGGAACATGATATCCGGCCACTGATCACATAATATGATGTACACAACGTAACAGCGGAGAATACGAAGGTGTTAACTGTCTTTCATTAGTCACGTATGTTTGCTTTCTATCCCCCCCCACCCCCCGTTAATTGGCCTAACATGTAAGTGATACTGAGATCAGGCTTAGATTGTTAGGCAAGGAGGGGAGGCCAGTCAATTAGCTTATGAAGCTGCATTGATTCAGCTGATTAAGACAGGTGTTACACGTGCCAAGCCAATATCTTAGAGAAAGAGTTGAGTACAGGTCATCACAGCAAACTTGACATCAATTCATGAAGTCTGGCTGGCTGGTTTCAACGTAAAACTTCGAACCGATGTGGAGCAGTTTGAGTTGCCACATTCCATGTACCGCACAAAGCCAGAGAAGAAAGTGAAAAGAAATGCAAAATAAAGACAGTGAACAGAGATATGAGGCAAAAGGAACAGTAATATCGAATAATAGTATAGTTTCACTGGAAATTATAAGTCAAAAGGAGTGGATGCATCTGCGCCATTGAGAACGATTCTGAGCCGTATCAACAATTGTCTCAAGCAATTGGTTTTCGCCATCCTGAGGATCCCAACTAGGAAGTCTACACCTTCCTACGTGGCTTGAACTAACTGCTGTGGATTTCATTAACTGATGCCATGTTTTGGTTTGACCACCACTGGCTCTTTTGCAACCTGATCTATCCTATGTCAGTTAAAATTGCCCGCCGAGGAAGGCAATGGCTAGATATGCGTAACACATGTCCTAACCATCTCATTCAATCGATGTAACTTCAAAGTCTCGTCGATTGATTTCCCATCCTTACCTAGCGCTCGACCGAGGCCTCACCTCAATATTGCTCACCCTATTATATCCCTTCACACGGGAGATAGAACTCAGGTACCTATGATCAAAGACAGCCAGCCTTTTCATGTCTTCCACTTCCAATGGCCATGTCTCACTCATAGCCATAAAGGAAGACGGAACGGACTGCTGAGCAGTACACGCGCCTATTGGTCGGTAGCCGGATATCACGTCTACGCCAGAGACCGGCGCAAACTGGCACATGCGAAACTAGCCCTCTGTATCCGTGCTGGGATTTCATCAGCAATCAACCCGCTGGCGTTAGCTAATGCAACTTCCCAAATAAGTGAAGCGGTCAACATGCTCTACAACTTCTAAGCTAGGAGTCAGTGTAATCCGGTTCTGTAACATTGTGGTGAGAGCAGGCTGCTAGCCGATTGGTTGGCACTAATCTACGTTAAGGTCTAGGTCACTAATATGGGCCGTGAGAAAATATGAACAAGCCTGAGTCAACAACCAATCACAGCAAAGTTAACGTGGCAGAATATGATTCGCAGAGAGAACTCTATTTGTCAAGGAATCCCGAAACAACCAATCAGAAGCCTGCGTTTGTCTACCTAAACAACCAATCAGATGACTGCGCTTGTCTATAATAATGTAGTTGAAAGATGTATAAATACGTGTTGATTTTCATAATAAAACGATCTGTTGCCTGGCCCTTGTCTTCTGTTGTTACATTTGGTGTCGCTGCCTACCGACAAATGAGAAGCCTACACCCTGCAGTTTTTGATGGAGACATATGGATCTTCGGGCAGGACTTCAAGGCTTCTGCGCAGTTGAGTGGCGTTCAAGATCTGTCAGCGATGGAGCTGCTACTTGAGACGCTGCTGGGAGGTCGGGCGAAAGCAGCATATGAAGGTGTGGGCCGAAGTATGGACGAATGTTCGACAGGGTCAGGCAAACAGTTTCCAAAGTGGGAAGGATCATATATGGTCACTTCGAGATGGGGTTACGCAGACACAGTCGCAATGGCGAACAATGAGAGGCGCGTGAACGTCAGCGAGCTCCAGAAATGGATACAGCGAGACAAGCCAACGATGACGCCTGCACCAAGTAGATCAAGCCGACTTCAGTCGCACGTATTTGACGGGGGGACGAGTGTGGTGAGAGCAGGCTGCTAGCCGATTGGTTGGCACTAATCTACGTTAAGGTCTAGGTCACTAATATGGGCCGTGAGAAAATATGAACAAGCCTGAGTCAACAACCAATCACAGCAAAGTTAACGTGGCAGAATATGATTCGCAGAGAGAACTCTATTTGTCAAGGAATCCCGAAACAACCAATCAGAAGCCTGCGTTTGTCTACCTAAACAACCAATCAGATGACTGCGCTTGTCTATAATAATGTAGTTGAAAGATGTATAAATACGTGTTGATTTTCATAATAAAACGATCTGTTGCCTGGCCCTTGTCTTCTGTTGTTACAACATCACCTTACATTTGGCGGGAGCGAGTCGCATGCCAAACATTCGTAAATTGCTGAAGACTGTTTTTTGTCAGCATCTTCACCTAGAAGGACTGTATTATCTACATATTCTAAGTCAGCGAGACTTCTATTCCTTGGTGGTACCAAGTCAATCCCTGAGTATCTGAGTTGAGTTAGGTTAAGTCCATTAATACATCTACGGTGAAATTGAATAGAAATGGGGATAATGGGCATCCCTGACAGACACCACTAGTCTCCACCACTTAAGATGACAACTCGCCGTAAGCCGTCACTTGGTTGCATGAGTTCGAGTAGAGTGTCTTCATCAGTGCAGTGTATTCTCTTGGCATTCCCTTCACAAACAAACATCGTCATAGTACCTCAACAGAATCGAATGCCGCTTTCAAGTCGAGAAATATGACGATTGTTGAACACCGATAAGTATGCCTATGTTCTAGAATCTGTCGGAGGGTGAAGATATGATTAATACAACCTCTTTCTGGTCTAAAGCCTGCATGGCTCTCGTGTTTGTGCCTCCCGAGCACCACCTAGTCTACGCATGATTATAGAGCCCAGGACTTAAGGTACCATATTAGTCAAGCTAATCACCCTTGTAATTATCATAGGAAGACTTGTCTCCCTTCTTGTGTATTAGGATAGTCAATGACTTCCACCAGGTTGAAGGGACTACTTCTGAATCTCAGACACTGCCCAATACCTCGGCTAGCGCGGATAGAAAACTTACTCCAGCATCCTTAAACACCTGGAGTCATTCTGTCAGGTCCCGATGCTTTGCCTCATTTCAGACTAGTGATGGCATTATTAACCTCAGTTAGGGACCCAGGACCTGTGTTTATATCCTATTCATGGATGTGTTAGATGCTGCGTAGGTTGAGCGTGGCTGTAGGTCGATTAAATTGCTCCTCAAAGTGTCCTTTCAAGCGACACAATTTACTACGTTCACGCTTAAGTGGTAGACGATAGTGCAAACGTCTGGTGCTTACAATTGAAGTGGTGAACAAGTGCAGGTCTAGTTAGGAGAGCTGGAATACCATGATTATTCAAAATCAATGGTGTGTACAATAGGCTCCCGAATCAAAAATGGTCGAATAACGGACGAACACATGACTGTCCATTGGATGACGGTCTAGGGGAGATGGCTAAACCCTGATTCCAAACCTCCAACGACTGGCGTATGAAGCTCACTGGAGCTCACCGGCAGACGTATGGACAAAGGGCTTGTTGGATGTCCTGGATGTCTGGCCCCATTCAAAAAGGCGTATGAACCGAACTCCGGTCACCGGCTGCCAATGGATAGTGGACTCCTTACTCCACTCCTACTGCCTTGTAGGTCACACTTGGCTGTGTGAAGGCTAGAGCTGCACTCTCAAACAAAAGGCCGAGCGATGCTGGGGACATCACTCGTACCAAATTCCCATGAAACTTCATGAACTCTCTTACAAATTACCGCGCCTGGGCAGCGATGATTCGAGACGTTCATGAAGCCGGCTCATCCTCCCGTAGGAGATAGTCGAAGTAAAGTAAAAGTAAAAGAACACATGTTTTAGTCACTGAAAACAAATAGAACTTAACTCCGAATCCTGCTCCAATGTTTTATGGATGAGATTTCAAGTGGAAGGGTAGGGAGGTTTTTACTGCTTAAGGTAACTATCTGCTTCGGTCTTTGTTTCTGGGTAGTATTTCAACCCTCGAATAAGCTATGAGACAAATTTTTGTGGGGCTCATTTGTAATGTCTATAATGTACAAAGTTTGTGTTCTAATGGATATATGATAATCTAGATTTCCAAAGTTAACATGAAATGTTTTGCTGTCACTTCTTTGTCATTGTTTATAGGTATTACAAAAGATGCAGTCAGAAGGTTGGTATCAACGACCTGGTGTTCGAATTATTGCATCCAGATGGCAAGACGCAGTTGTCACACTAGCCAATGAAATTGAAGAAGGGAAGATGCCAAGATTTAGTGGAATATTTTTCGATACCTACGCTGAAGATGATAAAGATTTAAAAGAATTTAATTCATGGTTACCCAAATTACTTTCACTTCCTCCAGGTGAAGAACAGTCAGTTGGGAATGAGAGTGAAGTTCAACTGCTTCCTGGACGCTATTCATATTATAATGGTCTATGTCCGGATAATGTATTTTTTCACGGAGTGGCATGTGAAACTATTCGACTCCACTTGAAAAGGTTAGCTTATGATTTCAGTTTCAATCTCTGACCAGTCATTGATGTTTGCATCGTGTGTTGTTAATTGGTGGTATAATATGGTGAGCCATAATCATGTTGTGTTTAAACGTACAGTCTTACGTAAGGAAGGAGATGCTTAGGACATGTATCGCTCATGCCGAGCCATATTAGCCGCTGAGATAAGATTGGGTTAGAAAAGAATTAGGTACAGTCATATAGTTAGTTGTAGACTGTCTGATTGGTTATGAGGATCCTCGAGATAATAAGAAATAAACGGCTAGAAACTATTGGTGATACGGTTCTAAGACGTTCTCAACAGCGAAGATGTATGTACTCTTTATGATCTCCCGTATCCATTGAGCTGTCATCTTTTTCGGTGTTATTAATTTTCTGGAGTGCATTTCCGCTTATTATAATTCTTCTTGAATGTCTTTTCCCCTATCTCTTGTCCATCTTTTTGTGCTACAAGAAGTGTGGCAGCTAAAAGCGCTTCACTTCGGTGTAAATCTCTACCTTCAAACTCTGTCAGTAAGTAGTCAAGTCAGTCAGTCAGCTGAGCTGAGCTGCTTTCCGTTGTCAATCACTTGATGTGCTGCATCCTCATATCCATATAGCTGTTGAATGAAGTTAATGAAGGTTTCGATGACTACTCCGTAGTGTTTTTTGAAGCAGTTTCCAAATCACTTCATGCTCAACGCTGTGTAAGGCCTTTCCAAATTCGATGAAGTTGAGGTAGAGAGTTGACAGACATTCTATCCTGCGTTCCATGCTTCTGCTGCTGCTGCTCATGATGATGATGGCGATGATGAATTGAAGCTTTACAATTTGATCCTCAAATGATTCCCTTGGCCCTAATCCAACTTGTTGCAGTCAGACTTTTGCATGACGAGTATCTTCCAGTCTCTGTCTCTCCAGTACGAGGCGAGTCGATATTCCCAGTTGCCTGTTGCAAATGCATGCGCTTATGGTGACGTTTAAGCGGAGTTTGTGGAGTACATAGAGAAGCGCTGACTGACTTGACAGTAGTCTTGAAAAATTCAATCTTCTTCTTCCTTATGCCTAGTGGAGCAAATTTCCACCCTGGTATCAGATTAATGGACAAGGTGTGTGTAAATATATATATATATATATATATCTTTTTCTTTTACAGATTAGGATTATGCTGTGTATATGAGGCTGTACCAGTTGATGTTACTGGCCAAGATTTATGGAAGAATGTCGCCGAAAGATACTGGTATTTTGATACATATTTTCTACCAAAGTGTACATTCGATTGCAAAGATTAAAATTATTTTTGATGGATATATACTTCTGAATTGTTAAACGGTTGTAATCGATAGACAGGAAGCTCTATCGGACTTAGGCTTCTTTCCTGTTGGCTGGCACTGAGCAGTTAGCAAGGCATATCTGCACTCATATTGCATACTTTGAGATTCTAACCCGGTTGGTTTCACCTCGTGTTGCAGTCAGAAATGTTACGACTGACTTACTATGGCTTACATTCGACGTCTCCTGTACTACTGCTATTGATATTTTGATTGGACCTTAGGTAGTAATTCATTTCATGCATTTAGTCCTTGGTGTGTGTTAATGCAGATATGATGAGTGACTATCAGTCGAGTTTGCACTGTGGTCATAATCATGCTAGGTAGTCCGCCATCATAGTACAATCTGAATTGATATTTTCAGTTGGTTGAAAGTAAGAGCATCAAGCTGCGGCAAAATAAAGCTGCTTGATAAGGAAGGGATTGAACTCCAGTTTAGCTAGCTGTCAAAAGATTAAAACCTGAGGATATGATACTTAGTGTAATTGAAAGTAACCTGAGGAGAAATAGGTAAAACAACTGCTTAGCAAGTCATAGTAGAACGTGCGTTTCCACTGAAGTACCAAGAGAAAGCAAGAAATAGCAAGTCCAAAATGCTTGAAAAATGACATAAAACATACTGATTGCTAAATTGGACAAGGGTAATACAACATTGATTATAGAACGACTAGTTTATATCATCAAGGTGTTAATGAACATATTAGAACAGAAGATTAAAAATCTTGTAGACACTCATACGAATAAGATTAAACAATCTACAGTTGGTCTTCTACGTTGAATGTACTCACATCTGAGTGAGTCAGAATGGCTTATGTTTATACCTAAAACTACTAATCCTAGTAAAATGTATAGCACTATTAAAATGCATAAACCAGGATATCTTATTAGGCTAATACTTGACTTTAGAAACATCCCTACATATGAAATATCTAAATATTTAGCATGAGTATTATGCCCCATAACCGATCAGTAAGATTGTAGACTGACTGATTCCTATGTAATGAAACAGGTGTTAGCAAAAATTCAAGTTGAAAAAAAATAATTAGATCTCATATAACCAGTTTGTACACTAATATCCCAATTAATACAGTTCTGGAGGCAGTTACGAATGAACTAAACACTGATCCCAAACTCAAAAATAGGACTAAGCTCTCGATTGATGAAATCGCATTAGGTTTTCAGTCATTTCTAACTTCATACAAAATGGCTACCCACCAAGATTTGTAGAGAAAAACATCAAACAGAAAAACCAAAAGCAAGAGACACCATCCGTGCCAAAAAAGATACTTTATATGAACCTAGACTTCAAAGGAGACCTATTTAGTGACATCCTCAGAAGGAGAATTTCCACCTCTTTAGGAAGAACTTTCCCTGCGGCAACACTAAGAATAGTGTTCTCCAGTCGCCCGCTGATCTGCAGAAACCCAAAGGACAAGATTCCGCACATGACCACTTCTATGTGTATATATCAGTTCACCTGTTGCTGTGGAGCCAGGTACATCGGTCGTTCAACGCGCATTCTGTCTAAAAGGGTAAAAGAACACTATCCAGCGTGGCTACAGAAAGGAAATAATGGCCATATAAGGAGTGCAATAATCGAACATCTCGTCAATACTGGTCATTCCATCTCAACGAACGCCTCCTTCAAAGTAATCTACAAAGTGAAGAACAACCTTCCAAAGACAGTACGATTCCGTCTTCTTTGTATCGCAGAAGCCCTAGCCATCCAGTCGGAGGAACCAGAACTATGCATACAAAAGAAAATTATCCAACCACTTCTACTCGCATGGTAACTACTCCTTTGATTTGACCTAACTTTTCTTTGTTTGTTTGATTTGACCTTACTTCTGTTTGTATGCTTATTTTTCTAACTTAAAACCCTTGTGTAATTCTGTATATTATTTTGTTTCCATGTACACCCTTTGAGCACAACTCATACATCAAACTATTCATGCCATTACGTAACTCTTATTTAACAATCATTTATGACAACTCATCACTTTTGTTACTATCCTCTTATATGAACATCCAATTCACCTGAACTTACTCCTCTTTAACAATCGTTTTTGACAACTCATCACTTTTGTTGCTATCCTCTTATCAACATCCAATTCATCTGAACTTACTAATTGTATTTTCGTTTGACAAATTTAATGTATACACACACACACAAAATAACCATATATATTTGCGATTGTACAGCTATGAAAATGAATTCGCCGAAAAGAGACTCTTCGCTGAACTACTTGTCTTCTGTCTACTAATTTCTAACTTCTACTGTATTCAATTTTCAAGATAAAACGTACAAACGAACGGATGTGGTGGCTATGGGATCACTAACATCTGCAATAATAGCGAATATATATATATTCACTGTACTGAAATTTGGCCATATCTATAAGTTCTTCAGATGTATTAACTCAATAATAGATGGGATCCAACCCACTTTCAAGTTAGAAAATAAACATGGTGAGTTGACCATGCTGCTAGAGTGTAACATAAAACAGAAACAGGATAATAATGTGTTACATGCTAGCATCTATTATAAAACCAACATATTCTAATAAATGCTTGTACTATGTTTCATTCGACTCGAAATCAGTAAGAGTAGGTTAATTTGCGTTTATCTAAGGGAATTAGGAACCTAACTAGTAACTTCAGAAGGCTTCGATAATGAAATGAAGTAAATAAAGAAAATGCCAATAGTGAATAACTAACTAACTACCTATCAGAATTTATACAGAAATATATGAAGACCAATAAGGGGAATATAAGTAGTAATGAGAATAATGAGGAAATTAAAGTCTCATCGCTAAGACCTTATAAATAGGGAACATTAGAGACTACGTAGGATTCTTAATAAGGTTGGCATTACGGCTGCATATGAAGTCCCTGTACCCCAACAATTAAAAAAAATTTGGTCATCGATGATTGAGTGTCGTATCATCCAACTTCAGGATCGAACACTCATCCAGTCAACTAATTGAGTGGAAAGCACTATTACAAAGGAGACGACCCAGAATTAACAAACTACTCTAAGATGTTTAAGAAAAGCCGACGAAACATCAGGTTTGAATTCATCTATGCTTAGAGATACCCTGTGTAATGTATCCTGCAGTTGTTAGTCTTACAGATCGCTTCGAGAATATGTTGGCAGTTGTCATTTTCTACAAAGTGGTCAGAAAATCTTCTACTGAAAAGACCGTTAAGTCAGACTAAGCTTTTAGAGTAGGACTTTACACAAGACTGCTATAGTTCAGGGTAGAGAAAATAGTCAATGAGACTACATGTAATGGAAGTGTCAGAGAGAGAAAAAAACTCTAACCTTGATATTACTCACTGTATTATACTGACTGGAACGGGATGCGGAGTTTAAATACTTGTAGTCAAAAACAGTTAACCTCTCCTATCTTCCACCCTCACAGGCCTAAAAGTGGGTATGGCGAACTGGTGTGTGGTACACGTGTCCTCCCATCGATATCCAAATGTCAGTTGTGCACGACAGCTGACATCAGTTGGCCGATCTCACATGAGACCCTTGTATCAATGTGTAGTGAGATTTTGTCATCAACCAGTCAATCCATTAGGTCTTGCTGATGAAAAATTCTAAATAAGTGAACTGGCCAACATATTCAACCACTTGACTTTCTTTCCATCTTTCAACTAGGAATCAGTTGGTTAAGACAAGTCCTCCACCATTTTAATTATCATCATGTGACATTTGAAATGACCGAATCATATGACAAACGTTCGAAGATTTCTTCTCAAAGTGTTCACAAGACTGTTTACATTTTGCCATCACGTTCAACTGGGGGGACAGTGTCATCTGAAAGCTGCAAATCAACCAGTTTATTTTCTAGTAACAAGTCAATCCTTAAGTCGTTAAACTCTGTTAGGGCCACACTTATTATGCAATGAAGTCATCTTTGAAATCTGTGCATTGATATTTATATTTACTTAAAGGTATAACAGTCTATTATTGAGTGTATTACCTAACACTACGGAGTACCTGAAATCTTTATAAATTAAATTGAATAGCTGCATGGGGATATGAATTGACAGTTGATTCACAAAAGAATCCTCAACAAAGCTGTTGAAGTGAAGACAGGAGTAAAATGTGACTGCCTACTATCATCGATGACATTCCTGAGTTCTAACATAAAGAAACGTAATGAAAATTAATCACTGAGGAGTATCCATTTTTTAAGAGCGTGGTGCAACTCATAGTGTTGCTGATATGGGCTGTCCATGTCATCGAGAATTATAAAGTAAATAATTTCAGATGAAGAGAAAAGTAAGGATTGGTATTGTAGATGCCATTTATTTCTTCTTATCAGTATTCTGTGAAATGTCTAGCCACTGACTGGGGTTTTCCTCGTACATTCCAACACTGAAGCCTATACTGCTCCAAGAGATAGTGGAGTTTTTTGCATAGAATAAATTCGTGCCTTGACTACTGTCGGTTATCACTAAAACAGTGTCGTATGTGACTGTCTAGCTTATGGAATCGTAATCAAGCAGCCATAATTTAAATTTCTTACAAAAAATCCCTAATTCTCCTACGGTACTGACTGACTTTCTATCCGCCTTTCTCTCTTTCTCTCAGCCAGTTGTAAGGCTTGTAAAAAAGCTGTTGCACGTGTGCTTGCATGACATGGGAACTGATATCCTGAGATAACATCTACACAGAGATCAATCTATTAATACAAACACCACCGGATTGCAGATTTACATGATTTCTCCGCTGACGAGGAGCAATCTTGAAAAATAGCACCAAGGAGTTCGAAGAAACTGAATTTCCCAAGTCCTAGCACAAGCCGAAAGACGAAGTTTCATCGATTTGTCAATATGACGGCTTACTGAATGGTGGACTATTTTGATACCTTATCGGGAAGTCAAACCCCAATACAACTACATTGGATACCACTAGTATATTAGGTACTTCAAAGACTATATATTTATAGGGACGTATTATTAGACGTGTACTCCACGTAGAACTCCTCACAGATGTGCAGTCGTTCTGATTTTCCCACTCCATGTAGCCCATAAAGGTAGACAAAAGAATACGAAACGTCAGATTGAAGAGAAATGAAATAAGCAGAAGTGTGGTGTGCGAGAGAAGGAATAGTGAGATGGAGAGATATGACGGTTTAATGGATATGGGGGAGATGACAAGGAGTGAATGCATCTGAGCCATGCAGAAGGAGTTTTAGCCATATCACGAATATATTCCATCCGTTGCTTCTAAGCATGCGAAAGACGAGTCAAACAGGGTGAGTGAAGTAGCCTTCGAAGTGAAGACAGAAGTAAGATAAGACTGACTACTAAGTAACGTGATGAATGATATTCGTGATTGTGGTGAACTGGATGATGTGGGCTAGTGTGAGTGGGGAGCGAGAAGAGAGGCACACCTTGAACCGACTAGAAGACACTGAGTCACCTGGACTTCGCGGATAATTTATGTCTATAATGTGACTCAAGCATCTATAGGTGGAAAGCAACAATTGTGTATGTAGAAGAGTGGACGAAGACGGGATTTCAAGTGCACACAGGGGGACGACAGAGGTGATGAGGGTGCTTAAATAACAATAACAAGACCATCAAGCAAAAGAAGAAGAAGAAACACCAATCACCTTGGACAGGAGAAATTCGAAGGGATTTGATTTCTTTTATTTTAATAATAATACTAGTAATAGTAATTTAATTTATTCCAAAACAGTACTTATCACACATAATGGAATTCTTAGCATTCGGTGCAATAGAGCATCTGATTTAATCAATAACAGCAAAAATAAAATAATACATGATATAGGTAGCCAGGATCAATAATAACAGCTTTTTGGTATTCGCAGTGACGATAAAATCAAAAATGTATTAAAAGTGTGAAATAATGATAATAGTGTTAGTAGCCGAGAGTATAATATAACTGTCACCATAGATTACAAATAGGAGAGAATGAGAGAAACATTAATTCGGTGAAAAAATAGTAAGTCGTTGGTTTCGCGCCTAAAACTATGTCCATCATTACATAGGACGCAGACCGAATAGGGTATTGTTGAGCTTTTCTACGAGAATATAAATCTTTTGTAATGAGATGCAAGGGAAGAGTTGAGATTACGGGCGTTGAGAGTTAGACAATATGGATTTAGCCGATTTCTCACATGACTTCAGGCGTCTGTTGTCTTCAGTAGCAACGAGCTGACTAAGTGGCACACCACTTACACTACTGAAAACCGTCAGTACCCTGCACAATCTAACATAGTCCTTTTTGAGTATTCCAGGAAAGACTAAGGGGAAACAATGCGGTACAATAGGTAAGACTCAAAGTTAACGAATTGCAAAAGTAGAGGTTGAGTGATACCTACCTGATTGTCTTAACTTCTTAGAGTAGTAGGTTAGATGGAACATTTTCTTAGAGATCGACAAGATATGGGATGATGAAGAAAGATCAGAGGAAAGAGCTATTCCAAGACATTTAATGCTTGAC